CAGATGCCACCATCAAGGAAGAGAAGCGCTGGAGCCGCAGCTGCAGCGAAGAAGGCTACTGCCAAACAAGCCAGGCTGGAGATGGCAGCGACGGAGACGCCGGCCCAGGCAGCAGAGCGACGAGCAGCAGACGCCGAAAGGAAGCGCGCGCAACGAGCACGCCAGGGAGAGGAAGCTGCTGCAGCGCGCCGAGAGGAGAACGCCCTTCTCATGCGCCATGCGCGCCAGGTGCAATCCCCCGAGCAGGTCGAGGCCCGCCTTGCCCAGGACGCGGAGCAGCATGCTCGCGCCCGTGCCGATGCCACCCCTGAGGAGGCTGAGGCTCGCCGTGTCGAGGACGCGGAGCGCCGTGCTCGCGCCCGCCTCGAGGCCACCCCCGAGCAGGTGGCCGCGCGCCGCGACGATGACGCCGCCCGGCATGCCCGGGTCCGCGAGCGGCAAGGCCCAGAGGCCGCCGACGAGAGGCGGGCCGCCGACGCTGAACGCCATGCTAGTGCTCGTTTGTTGCAGACACCAGAGGACGAAGACGCGCGCCGCGCCCTGCAGGCCGCCCACATGGCCGATGTCCGGGAGGTGCAGACGCCGCAGCGGGCCGTCCAGGACCGCGTCCAGCGGCAGCTCCGCGACCTGCACCCGCGGCCCCGCGTGCTCAATCTGGACATCCCGGAGGATGTCGCACCCGCCGCGGCCCCAGCCGCCCCTCAGCGCGCCCCTGCCGCAGCTGGCCAGCCCACCCTGAAGGAGCTGTTCGACGCCACCATGGCGGCGCAGTCGCTGAACGTGTGTCATCACTGCAACAGGGCGGTCATGACGGCCGACGGGTCGTTGGCTCCCACGTGCACGAAACGTGCTCGGAACGACCCCGCGAAACGCGAATGCGAGGTCCGCTTCACTGCCGCTAACCAGATGGACCCGGGGGTAGGTCGTTCCATTTTCGGTGTCGGGAATACCGATCTGTCCAGAACGCAGGTAAAATAAAGGTCCCCGGCCACGGCCGCGCGGCCGCGGCGGGGCGCGCGAAAAACCACCGTGAGGGAAAATTGGCGCGAAAGTGACAAAGGCATAAAATTTGTTCTTGCGCATGGTTCCCGACATCGCAGCCACCTCCGCTTAGCATTGTTGTAACCTCCACAACGTATACTTTCATTTCACCTGCGTTCTGGCATACCGATTTTAAAATGGAACGCCCTACCCGGGGGTCGTGCCCCCTGAGCTGCAGGGCCTAACCTACATCGAGCAGCAGCTGATCGCGCGCGTGCACCCCGTGGTGTCTGTGTATAAGGTTAGAGGGGGGCAGTATGGCTACTCAGGTAATATCATTAATTTCCCTCAGGATGTCCAGGAGCTGGCCACCGCGCTGCCGCACCGCCTGGCCGACCTGAACTCGATCACCACGGTGCGAACCCAGGGCGTCTAGGGCGCCGAGGGGCACGTCGACTTCAACGTGCGAGCGGGCCGAGTCCGCGCCGCGCTGGTCTGGCTGAAGGAGCACCAGCGCTACTACCGTGATGTGGAAATCTCAGAGGAAAATTTGTCTCAATTGCCTGCTAATGCAGGTCTCGGAAATCCACGTGTCCGGAGGTAAGGAAGGTACTTCCGGCCCAGCCACTAAACTTGTAGCGTCGTTAGGGCTACTCACCGATGCATCTCGACGAGACGAGACGATTTCATTTCCATATTTTTTTTGTGGGACGGATAGTTTTCAAAATATGGCCATAAAACGCAAATTTTGGTTAAAAACAGTTTTATATATAAGTCGATGGTCGGATCTGAAGATCGTGTCGCACAGCGTATCGCCTTCGAGGGTGCTTTTGTATATCAATTCCGCACCAAACCAGAGATAGCCGTATCCTGGCTGACCCCTAGGTAGGCGTCTGGAGGCCGAAAAGAGTCATTTTTGACCCAAAGACCTAACTTTGAGGGCTCCAAACGGCTGAAAGGGCTGCCGATGGGTCCAAATGGACTTTGCACCTTTTCTTAGGATATACTCAAGTACTTTTTTCCAGGTCCACTTTTTTGATCCCAGATTTTCGACCCACCTTACTGCAGGGCCCACAGCACCCGCAGCACGACCTGCGCCCGAGGGCGGCCCAGAGGCCGGGCCCCACCAGGAGGACGCCGAGGCCGTCGGCATCCACGTGACGTGCATGCCCATGATCCGGCCCGAGCTCAACGAGGACCAGGTTGAGTCCCATGTGACGGACTGGCCAACGATCGGACCTCAGCCTGTCAATGAGTTCACCACGGACGATGGCCTTCCCCTATCTCTTCCCAACGGGAAGGAGTGGCTGCACCACTAAAATCCACACGGCTGATTACTTTAAGTTTCTAATGGAGTACTCTGATAGACGATTCTCATGCCATCCCACTTTCAGGTTTTTCGCCCTCAACTCCATGATGCGGTGGAACGCTCTGACAAACGGACGGGTGTTCATCAGGAACAACCCCCGGTTCAACGACATGACGGCCGCTGATCTCAGGCGGCGCATCCGGGCGGGCGAGAGGAACATCCTCAAGCAGGCGCTGTACCACGGCAACAAGCTCAAGGGCACCAGGCAGTACTGGCAGTCACGTTGTGGTGAGTTACTTTACATGATCAATCAGCTTGGAATACCGACACTGTTTATGATTCTTAGCGCTGCTGATCTGCACTGGTCGGACTTCTTCCGGCTCGTGTCGCCCGGCGAGGACTTCGAGACCATGACGGAGACTCGGCGACAGCAACTACTGTGCGAGAATCCTCACATTGCTGACACTTTCTTTGCCGAGAGGACAAAGTTTTTCATTAGAAATGTATTTAAGGTTAAGTACAATGTAAAGGATTACTGGTTTCGCTTTGAGTACCAGCACCGAGGTTCACCACACGTTCACTGTATCGTGTACCTAGACGGTGCCCCTGATGTGAGCAACCTGAAGGATGCCTCTCAGGAGCACCTCAACGCCGTTATCAGGTACTTTGACTCCTTGGTTTCGACGATGAACCCAGGTAAGGACTTGCCTCCTGCCGACATTCATCCGTGCAGGAAAAAGTTTAGCGAAGTTACTGGGTGATTCTCAGAATACGGGCCGTTTAGATTCCGCGGCCCTTCACAACTATGTGATATGGTTTGAAAAGGTTTT